CCCTTTGCACCCCCAAACCGACAATTTCACCCCTCAATAGCCGCTCTCAAGCGCCAAATTCCAACTTTTAACCCCAAATTCGCCTTTTTTAGCCTCCAAAACGAGCGTTTTTTGCCCAAATTCCTCATTTTTAGCCCCAAAATCGCCGCTTTTAACCCCAAATTTCCTCTCGCCGTCATCGCCCCTTTAAGAGCAGTCCCCACCTCCCTATCGCCGCTTTAAGACCATAGAGAAGTCCTCCCAGCCGGGTAGCGCGCCGCTTAGCCCCGCCCACTTCCGGCGGCGCTCCGCTTCACTTCCGCGTTCTCGCCGTTCAAAAATGGCGGCGTCCACGCTGGAGCGGCTCCTAACGGAGCTTTTGGAACCGGACAGCGCCGGGATTCGCCAGGTACCGGGAATTCGGGAAAATCTGGGAATTCTTCGGTATTCCAAAGGATTTCGGTGAAGGTTTGGGGGGGTTTTTGTTGTCTCCAGGCCACGGCGAGGCTGCGGGAGGTGCTGGAGGAGCCTGAGGGGAGCGAAGGCCTCGCGGTGCTGCTGAGGGAGGCGGAGAGGCCGCAGGTGTGAGGGGATTTGGGCGGGAAATTGGGGGATTCTGAGGGGAATTCGGGAATTCTGAGGGGAATTTGGGAATTCTGAGGGGAATTTGGGAATTCCGAGGGAAATTTGGGAATTCTGAGGGGAATTTGGGGATTCTGAGGGGAATTTTGGGGATTCTGAGGGGAATTCTGAGGGAATTTTGAGGGAATTTTGGGTTTGAAGAGGGAATTTTGGGGATTCTGAAGGGAATTTTGGGGATCCTGAGGGGAATTTTTGGGATCCTGAGGGGATTTTGAGGGAATTTTGGGGATTCTGAGGAGAATTCGGGGGAATTCTGAGGGAATTTTAGGGATCCTGAGGGGATTTGGGTGGAAAATTGGGGGATTCTGAGGGGAATTTGGGAATTCTGAGGAAAATTTTGGGGATTTTGAGGGGATTTTGAGGGGATTTTGAGGGGATTTTGGGATTTGAAGAGGGAATTTTGGGATTTGGGCGGGAAATTTGGGGATTCTGAGGGGAATTTGGGAATTCCGAGGGAAATTTGGGAATTCCGAGGGGAATTTGGGAATTCTGAGGAGAATTTGGAAATTCCGAGGGAAATTTGGGGATTCTGAGGAGAATTCGGGGGAATTCTGAGGGAATTTTGGGGAAATTTGAGGGAAATTTGGGAATTCTGAGGGAAATTTTGGGGATTCTGAGGGGAATTTGGGAATAGGGATCCTGAGGGGATTTGGGCGGGAAATTGGGGGATTCAGAGGGGAATTTGGGAATTCTGAGGGAAATTTTGGGGATTTTGAGGGGATTTTGAGGGGATTTTGGGATTTGAAGAGGGAATTTTGGGATTAGGGCGGGAAATTTGGGAATTCTGAGGGAAATTTTGGGATTTGAAGAGGGAATTTTGGGGATTTTGAGGGGAATTTTGGGAATTCTGAGGGAAATTTGGGGATTCTGAGGAGAATTTTGGAAATTCTGAGGGGAATTTGGGAATTCTGAGGGGAAATTTGGGAATTCTGAGGGGGATTTTGGGAATTCGGAGGGGAATTTGGGAATTCTGAGGGGAATTTGGGAATTCTGAGGGAATTCTGAGGGAATTTTGGGTTTGAAGAGGGAATTTTGGGGATTCTGAGGGGAATTTTTGGGATCCTGAGGGGAATTTTGGGATTGGAAGAGGGAATTTTGGGGATTCTGAGGGAATTTTGGGAATTCTGTGGGAAATTTGGGAATTCTGAGGGAATTTTAGGGATCCTGAGGGGATTTGGGCGGGAAACTGGGGGATTCTGAGGGAAATTTGGGAATTCCGAGGGAAATTTGGGAATTCTGAGGGAAATTTTGGGGATTCTGAGGGGAATTTGGGAATTCTGAGGGAATTCTGAGGGAATTTTGAGGGAATTTTGGGATTTGAAGAGGGAATTTTGGGGATTCTGAAGGGAATTTTAGGGATCCTGAGGGGATTTGGGCGGGAAACTGGGGGATTCTGAGGGGAATTTGGGGATTCTGAGGGGAATTTGGGAATTCTGAGGGGAATTTTGGGAATTCTGAGGGAATTTTAGGGATCCCGAGGGGATTTGGGCGGGAAATTGGGGGATTCTGAGGGGAATTTGGGAATTCCGAGGGAAATTTGGGAATTCTGTGGGAAATTTTGGGAATTCTGAGGGAAATTTGGGGTTTGTGAGGGAATTTTAGGGTTCCTGAGGGGATTTGGGCGGGAAATTTGGGAATTCTGATGGGAATTTGGGAATTCTGAGGGAAATTTTGGGGATTTTGAGGGGAATTTGGGATTTGAAGAGGGAATTTTGGGATTTGGGCGGGAAATTTGGGGATTCTGAGGGGAATTTGGGAATTCTGATGGGAATTTTGGGATTTGAAGAGGGAATTTTGGGGATTCTGAGGGGAATTTTGGGATTCTGAGGGGAATTTGGGAATTCTGAGGGAATTTTAGGGATCCTGAGGGGATTTGGGCGGGAAATTGGGAATTCTGAGGGGAATTTGGGAATTCTGAGGGGAATTTGGGAATTCTGAGGGGAATTTTGGGATTTGAAGAGGGGAATTTTGGGGATTCTGAGGGGATTTGGAGGGATTCCGAGGGAAATTTGGGAATTCTGAGGGGAATTCGGGAATTCTGAGGGAAATTTGGGAATTCTGAGGGAAATTTGGGAATTCTGAGGGGAATTTGGGAATTCCAAGGGAAATTCGGGGATTCTGAGGGGAATTTGGGAATTCTGAGGGGAATTTGGGAATTCCAAGGGAAATTCGGGGATTCTGAGGGAAATTTTGGGATTCTGAGGGGAATTTGGGAATTCTGAGGGAATTCTGAGGGAATTTTGGGTTTGAAGAGGGAATTTTGGGGATTCTGAGGGGAATTTTAGGGATCCTGAGGGGATTTGGGCGGGAAATTGGGGGATTCTGAGAGGAATTTGGGAATTCTGAGGGAAATTTGGGAATTCTGAGGGAAATTTGGGGATTCCGAGGGGAATTTTGGGATTCCGAGGGGAATTTGGGAATTCTGAGGGAATTTGGGGATTCTGAGGGGAATTTTGGGATTTGAAGAGGGAATTTTGGGGATTCTGAGGAGAATTCGGGGGAATTCTGAGGGAATTTTGGGGAAATTTGAGGGGAATTTGGGAATTCTGAGGGAAATTTTGGGGATTCTGAGGGGAATTTGGGAATTCTGAGGGGATTTGGGCGGGAAATCCGGGAATTCTGAGGGAAATTTGGAAATTCTGAGGGAAATTTGGGAATTCTGAGGGGAATTTGGGGATTCTGAGGGAATTTTTGGGATTCTGAGGGAATTTTGAGGGGAATTTTGGGATTTGAAGAGGGAATTTTGGAGATTCTGAGGGGATTTTTGGGATCCTGAGGGGATTTGGGCGGGAATTTTGGGAATTCTGTGGCAATTTTTGGGATTCTGAGGGGAATTTGGGGAATTCTGAGGGAGTTTTGAGTTTTCAGAGGAAATTTGGGGAGAAATTTGGGAATTCTGAGGGAATTTCTTGTTTCCGGGCGGATTTTGGGATGATTTTTGAGGGGATTTGGGGATTCCTAATTGGATTTTTGGGAATTTCGGGTCGATTTTGGGGGAATTTCGGGTGGATTTTGGGGAATTTTGGGTGGATTTTGGGACTTTCGGGTGGATTTTGGGAATTTTGGGTGGATTTTTGGGGAATTTCGGGTGGATTTTGGGGAATTTCGGGTGGATTTTGGGAATTTCGGGTGGATTTTGGGGAATTTCGTGTGGATTTTGGGAATTTCGGGTGGATTTTGGGGAATTTCAGGTGAATTTTGGGAATTTCGGGTGCAGTTTGGGGAATTTTGGGTGGATTTTGGGGAATTTCAGGTGAATTTTGGGAATTTCGGGTGCAGTTTGGGGAATTTTGGGTGGATTTTGGGAATTTCAGGTGGATTTTGGGGAATTTTGGGTGGATTTTGGGGAATTTCGGGTGGATTTTGGGAATTTCGGGTGGATTTTGGGAATTTCGGGTGGATTTTGGGGAATTTTGGGAATTTCGGGTGGATTTTGGGGAATTTTGGGTGGATTTTTGGGATTTCGGGTGGATTTTGGGGAATTTTGGGTGGATTTTGGGGAATTTCCTGTGGTTTTTGGGGAATTTCAGGTGGATTTTTGGGAATTTCGGGTGGATTTTGGGAATTTCGGGTGGATTTTGGGGTGAATTTGGGGTGTTTTGGGTCCCAGGTCCGAAATTTGGCCGCGGTTTTGCTCCGGAGGCTCCTCCGGAAACTCCCCCAGGAATTGATTGACAGGTGGGCGGGGCCTGGAGCCCCATTATAGTCAATGGGAGGGGCGTGGCTTAAGTGCCATTGAAGTCAATGGGAGGGGCGTGGCTTAGGCCCCATTGAAGTCTATGGGAGGGGGCGTGGCTTAGGCCCCATGGAAATCAATGGGAGGGGGCGTGGTTTAGGCCCCATTTGAGTCAATGGGAGGGGGCGTGGCTTAAGTGCCATTGAAGTCAATGGGAGGGGCGTGGCTTAAGTGCCATTGAAGTCAATGAGGGGCGTGGCTTAAGTGCCATTGAAGTCTAAGGGAGGGGCGTGGCTTAGGCCCCATTGAAGTCTATGGAAGCGGGCGTGGTTTAGGCCTCATTGAAATCAATGGGAGGGGGCGTGGCTTAGGCCCCATGGAAATCAATGGGAGGGGGCGTGGTTTAGGCCCCATTGGAGTGAATGGGAGGGGGCGTGGCTTAGAATTAAAGTCAATGGGAGGGGGCGTGGCTTATCCTCCATAGGAGTTAATTGGTGGTAACAAAGCTTAATTAAAAATGTTAATTAAAAAGGGGTGGAGCTAATTTGAGTGATTAATTGGGGACTGGGAGTAGCTCAAAGTGGGCGTGGCCTCAGGTTAATTAAACAGCGGGAGGGGCTTGATTAGCAGCGTTAATTAGAGAGGGGGAGGAGCTTAAAGCGCAAAAGGGGTGGGGTTTGACAATATATGGTAATGAGGGGGCGGGGCTAATCGTGGCCACGCCCCCTCCAGGCTCCCCCATCTCGTGGTCGAGGCCCTGGAGCGGGAAACGGAGTGAGTGAAAATTCCCCAAAATTTTAATTTTTAACCCCAAAATTCCCCAAATTTGGGGTTTTTTGGGAGAGAAATTCGGGGGTGGGGGAAAAATGGGAATTTTTGGGGGGAAAATGGGAATTTTGGGGGAAAATTTGGGGTTTTTTGGGGGGAAATTGGGAATTTTGGGTTAAAAAATGGGAATTTTGGGGAAGAAATCGAATTTTTGGGGGGGAAATTGGGAATTTTTGGGAAAATTTGGGGGTTTTTGGGGTGAAAAATGGGAATTTTGGGGGAAAATTTGGGGTTTTTTGGGGGGAAATTGGGGATTTTGGGGAAAAAAATGGGAATTTTGGGGTTTTTTGGGGGAAAATCAAGAATTTTTGGAAAAAAAAGGGAATTTTGGGGGAAAATTTGGGTTTTTGGAAGGAAATTGGGAATTTTGGGGAAAAAAATCAAATTTTTGTGGGGGAAATTGGGAATCTTTGGGAAAAAATGTGAATTTTGGGGAAAAATTTTGGGGTTTTTTTGGAAAATTTGGGGTTTTTGGGGGGAAATTGGGAATTTTGGAGGGAAAAAATGGGAATTTTGGGGAAAAAAATGGGAATTTTGGGGAAGAAATCGAATTTTTTGGGGGGAAATTGGGAATTTTTGGAAAAATTTGGGGGTTTTTGGGGGAAAATTTTGGGTTTTTTTGGGGGAAATTGGGAATTTTGGGGGGAAAAATGGGAATTTTGGGGAAGAAATCGAATTTTTGGGGGGGAAATTGGGAATTTTTGGGAAAATTTGGGGGTTTTTGGGGTGAAAAATGGGAATTT